TAAAAAATAATCCCATGGGGATTCTTTTTATTTGCTGATTTGGGATTCATATTTTTAAAGCTTTTTATCGGTCATGAGAGTTAGTAATTCACCTTTTTTAAAAAATGGAAACAGATTCTCATCTCCATACAAAACACCAAATGTCACAAAAATTGGCAATAGTGACGGAAGAGTTACTAGCCCCGTATCCTGTCTCAAACAGTGACAAGTAGCAGAACTTCCGGGGAGTGTACAAAACAGTGCAATTTTTGAGAGATCCACCGGTTTGCCCTTCCCGACTTCTCACAGTCAGAGGTTTAAGGTCATCCTAGGCATGGCGGTCCATACCTGACCATCTTGGCTAATAGTCATTGGTGAATCTATGCTCCATGAACTTACCTAGTTCTTCTTTGAATCCAATTATTCTTTTGCACATCACATGGCAATGAGTTCCAGAGGTTAATTGTGCATTATGTGAAAAAGTACTTCCTCTTGTTTGTATTAAACCTGCTGCCTATTAATTTCATTGGGCAACCCTCTGCTTTTTGTATTGTGAGAAAGGATGAACAAAGACTTCCCTGTTCATTTTGTCCACATCATTCATGATTTTATAGACTTTATCATATCCCCCAGTCATCTTTTTTCTAAGATGAATAGCCCTACTCTTTTTAGTCTCTCCTAATGTAGAAAGTGTTCTATACCCTTGATCATCTTTGTTGCCTTTCCTCTGTAGTTTTTCCCATATCAGTCCAGAATTCAACCCTTCCCATCCTGACTCTTCAGGCCATCGTCAATCAGGATTTAAAAGTGAGATTATACATCATGTTCTTCAGGTCAACAAACTGCCTGAGTTTGGCATCCTTTAAAAATATTAGGAAACATAAAAGAGCAAATGTATTCCTGGTGTAACTCTAATGCAGCCAGTGGTGATAGCAAGGAGGAACTAGGCCCAAATAGTTAGGCGGCCAGACCCTTCAATGTAACCAACTATTGTGATTTTATCATGAGATTTGCAATACTAAATATTTTTACTAAAGTTACAGCTCATGGAGTCATGTAATTAAATGAGAATCTCCGGGTTTTCTTTTTCTTTTTTAATTTAAATTTCCAGACCTCATGGTTGCAGAAAAGAATCTTGAGGCTCAAATCCAGAAGGCAAATTTAAAAGAAAAACACTTTTTAAAATCTTATTTTAAATCAATCTCCTATTTTTTAAGGAGGACTGGCTCATAATTTTTGAACATTTGGAGTTGGTAATAATAAACCCTGCATTGTTATGAGATTTAGCTAATGAATGAGTGTAAAGCACTTTAAGATCCTTGGGCGATTGCCAGTGCTACACATACACAAAGTGTTAGTATTATTTGTTTCCTGAAAGCCTTACCAATATGAATAATTGGACACTGGGTACGTTGTACTGACCCAATAGCAGCTTCCTTGTCCAAAAATCAGAGTTAGCTCTAGCCCTTGTGCAGCCCTACACGAAAGAAAACATGTCAGGTACCAACTAGCACCCTTCATAAGAACAGCCATACTGGGTCAGACCAAAGGTCCATCTAGCCCAGTATCCTGTCTTTCAACAGTGGCCAATGCCAGGTGCCCCCGAGGGAATGAATAGAACAGGTAATCATCAAGTGATCCATCCCCTGTCACCCATTCATTGATGGACCTATCCTCCGTGAACTTATCTAGTTCTTTTTTCAACCTTGTTATAGTCTTGGCCTTCACAGCATCCTCTAGCAAGGAGTTCCACACGTTGACTGTGTTGTGTGAAAAAATACTTTTTTGTTTTAAACCTGCTGCCTATTCATTTCATTTGGTGACCTCTAGTTCTTGTGTCATGAGGAGTGAATAACACTTCCTTATTTACTTTCTCCACACGAGTGATGATTTTATAGACCTCCATCATATCCCCCCTTAATCATCTTTTCCAAGCTGAAAAGTCCCAATCTTATTAATCGCTCCTCATATAGAAGCCATTCCATACCCCTAATCATTTTTGTTGCCCTTTTCTGAACCTTGTCCAATTCCAATATATCTTTTATTAAGATGCGGCAACCACATCTGCACACAGTATTAAAGATGTGGGTGTACCATACATTTATATAGAGGCAGTATGATGTTTTCTGTCTTATTATCTATCCCTTTCTTAATGATTCCCAACATTCTGTTTTTTTTTGACTGCCACTGCACATTCAGTGGATGTTTTCAGAGAACTATTCACAATGACTCCAAGATCTTTCTTGAGGGGTAACAGCTAATTTAGACCCCATCATTTTATACATACAGTGAGGATTATGTTTTCTAATATGCATTACTTTGCATTTATCAACACTGAATGTCATCTATCATTTTACTGGCCAGTCATCCAGTTTTGTGAGATCCTTGTGTAGCTCTTCACAGTCTGCCTGGGACTAGTAGTTTTGTATCATCTGCAATTTTGCCACCTCACTCTTTACCCATTTTTCTAGATAATTTATGAATATGTTGAATAGGACTGGTCCCAGTACAGACCCCTAAGGGACACCACTCAAACTTTTGTACTAGTGACCCCTTTCACATAGCACGCCTCTGAGTGCAACCCCTCCTTATAAATTAAAAACACTTTTTTATATATTTAACACCATTATAAATGCTAAATCAGATGCATCAGATGAAGTGAGCTGTAGCTCACGAAAGCTTATGCTCAAATAAATTGGTTAGTCTCTCAGGTGCCACAAATACTCCCTTTTTCTGTGCTTAAAGTTGTTCCACTTTGAATAAATAATTAAATATCCACTGGGCCAGAAAAAGAGACCGATACTGTTACCCAGTGGCTGAGCCCCACTAGGGATGTGGAAGACTGGAGATCAAAGCCCCGTGCCTACGCAGGCAGAGTAGGGATTCAAACCTACATATGCCACACGCCAGGTGAGTGCCTTAACAGGCTTTTGGGTATTTCCTGAACATTCTCACACCAACTGCCTTTTGTGCAGGACCCAACCCTGTAGGTGTGCTCTGAGCATGCCTATGAGTTTGGGACCTGCTGCCAAGAGAGGTAGGGGAACAACCAGTTTGAGAATCCTACTTTGTGGCCACAGGATCTTTAGCTTGTGCTAGGGCTACAAGCAGCTAGGTAGTTATGGAGCAGTGTCAGGACTCAGCCAGCTTTATAACTGCCCACCAGTAGAGACTTTGGTACCTAGGGGGTTAGACAGCAGTTGTACAGTGGTTTTAAGAATCTAAGTAGTGCCTAAATGTTGGACTTCAATACCGTCATGAATCTGGCCCTATGGGACTGCATAGGTGGCACAAGCCTATGGCCATCAATATGTAATGATCTTAGTCTAAAAAATTACAAGTTGTTGAGCATGTCATCAACTCCCTGTGAGGTCAATGGAGATTGACAGCACTCATCAAGCCCCAGGAAGTACTGAGCACCTTACAGAAATAGGTACAGAACACTACTGTTATGAGCTGCATGAAACATTGTTAGAGGTTGAGTTAAAACCTGATTGAAATTGGTGAGAACTCAACATTCAATCAATCTGTCAAGCTGAGTTAATCAGAAGCCCCCCACCTCAGGCAAAAGGGAGTTGGCTAGGACTGGCTGGGCAAGCCTGGAGGGCTTTTTCTGAGTATGGCTATAGGGAGGTATGGAAGGTGGAACTTATAGAAACTGAGAACCAGGGGCCGAAGCAAAATGCAAGGAAGCTAAGCAGTAGTCTCTGAGCAATGTGTCCCTGAAGAGGAGAGAGGGGGGAAAAAAAAAATATCAGAGAGCATGTTTGAGTCTGTTTGGTAAAGAGACTAGGGCTGTAAGCTAAGAAGACCACTTGGTCTTCGTGGTCTTGGTTCCTCCTGCAGAGAAGCAGGAGGTTGCATTCCTTGTAAATGAACAAGATGGCATCAAAGAAAATACCAGACTCCATCAATTTCTACATCCAACTGGAACATCGCCCCTGCTCTAAACTTTGACTAGTCCTGCAGGCTGAAAAGGGGCAATGCTACCCTGCTCTAGTGTGTGTAACAGACAGAATGAACAACATCAGCTTTAGTGGAATGCTTAAAAGCTCTCAGGCTGACATCACTGATCAACATCTTCATGCCAAAGAGTGGATGACAGCTGTACACAGACTGAGCACACTGGCTTTTGTCACTCTGAAACTACACTAGGCGACTGGTGTCCACATTCAGGAGAGACGGAATGCAAAGGTCAGTCTTTGAAGAAGACAACGAGGAATAGCCCCTTAAAGGCCACTTCTATCTCTGCTACAGAGGAAAATGTAAACATTAAAAAGAAAATTGTTACGTGCTCTGTCAGGGAACCAGACCATTATACTTGCAAGAGATGGCCTCAATTACATCTTTGGCCTTTTCTGTCTATGAACCTATGAGACAGAATGTAAAGAAGAAGAAAGAAAAAAAGTGTCCACATTGTCTAGTTCAGGGATAGCCACAGTGCGTCACACAGATCACACACAGCCCTCCAACACTCAACATTCCGCACATTGTAATTCTGCACAAAATAAATGGCCAGATTTTATTCTCTCCACAGCTGCTATGATACAGTAACAGTTTGACAGGCCAGCACCGGCTTCCATTTGACTTTTGCTCTGCTCACCTCCTGCAATGTGTTTGGATAAAAAAGTCCTTATTTAAAAAAAACAAAACAAAAAAACCCATAGAAGAAAGTCCCATGAGGGGCACTCCCTACCTAAAGAGGATTCTTTGTCTATGGCATTTTTCTTTTCTACTTCAAGCAGGACGTGGTTGCTATTTAACTTCTCAAGACCTTTTAATGACATTAGCTTGCCTGCCAGCAATCTGAAGATTTGCTTCCATAAGCCGATCTCAACGCCTGTAGGGCATACATGATTTATAAAGAGAATGGGCTAGAAAACAAGTGTCTCCCCTGGTCATTGCATGAGAGCACAAACCAGCAATTTCTAATGTGTTTCAGAAGCTTATTCAATAAATTGCATCCCCATCCACAAGCTGCTAAAGATGTCAGAGCCCAATCAATATTTTTCCTTCTCAGAGAGAGATTTCTCCAAGTTCACCACTGTGTGCGCCATCCAGATTAGCTTGCTTGAATCTGACCACATTCTGCTTTCCACTTTGGATTAGGAAATAAACCTGTTGCACTTCATGGAATATAAAGTTTTAATTTACAGTGCATGGATCAGCAGTTCTTCATAACAAGCAGGAAAAGGGTCAAAATACAATTCTGACCATATAGCAAATCAACATTCATCTCTTTCCTTCACAGAAACACATGCCAGGATCTTTTTTAAATTATACAAAAATGAAAAGTATTCCAAGGTTTCAGGTGTCCCCTACAATTCCAGGTCTTGTCAGAGGGATTTTTAATAAAACATTATTGCTGTATGCAGTGGCAATAACGAAAATTTTCAAACTTACCCGTACAGTAACTTAAAAAAAATAAGAAAAAAATCCTCTTGTAACCTAACCCCATAAAAACATAAGATATGTTGAGTTAAAGCTGTTATAGCCTCTTTAACCAATGCATTACAACACATGTGGTCCTTTATCAGAGGATCTTACATACCATATGTACTACTGTAGCCAAACAAATAGAGTAAATTAAAGAGGGTAAGTTAAGGACACCACGTCAAACTAAATTCATATTTTCCTTATGCTGTGGGCTTATGATGCAGTGCTACTTTCTTGTATAGTTGGATCTTAAATTCACATTTTCAAGCTTATTTGCCAGAACTGCAAAACAATTTAATAGATTAAAAAGGCTTAACAAGCAAGAGATGAGGCTCAGATGTGTTCAGTTAGAAAGATAAAAAAATCAAATGTAATATAGCTCCTCAGTAACTTTATTTTTTAAGCAAACACTTCTGCCATAGCAAGAAACCAATTGGTTCCTATTTGTTTAGGACTTTGTGCCTGCAAAATCAGGGATACTGATGTCATTTTTCAAGTTAAAAAAAGGATGCTTCATTGCTACTAAGGAAGTCAAAGGAAATCTCTGCATAACTATATGTCAGGAGGGACATGGGCCCTGAGTAGGAGTGTGTGTTATACCTACAAATGTCAGACTCAGTACGTGGTACAGACATCATCTGAAAGGACACTGCAAGTGCATTCACATTCATACAGTATGATACTGGGTTGCAGGCCCCTTGCAAAAGCAAGGAGGAACCTATCAAATTAGCGAGGAACAGAGTGCTGGCTGCTAAAGAGCACATACTGAAGTAATGACTGTGAAAGAACAAAAAGCTCTTCCATTTGAATACACTGTAAAACACAACAAAGCAAGAGCCTTAGACATACTACTACTTACACTGATCTCACCCAAGAATATATTGATTCACTCATCCCTGTAGGAACTAGAAAGGCATTCATTTTGCAGCTCTCTCTGCAGTTTGTATACACAAAGGGAATTAGAGAAGTCGTGGGCAGCACTGAATTTCACATTGTTAAAGGCAATATGGCTGCAACTTACACAATCTGTAGGCATTAGCTCTTGCTCCTGTTATTACTGTTAATATCTGTAATATAGCCTTAGCTAAGCCTCTTACAATCCAGCGAGTTAACATTGTCCTTTGCAGAGCAGCATAGGGAGTACTCTGTAGCCTCTATAGCTTGTAAAGCTCCTTGATGAAGGGATCATGCTTCCTTCTCTGTTTGGAAAGCACACCAGACATAATGGGCCCTGCCAGAAATACAGAATTTTAATATTGATCACAAATTGCAGTACAATGTATACTAGATACACTGCTTTTTATGCAAGACAGTGTTTTCCTGCAATCTCATCCAAATTAGTATCCTGCAGGCTTTTGAAACCTTACTTCCTAATGTTAGTCTAGAGGCCTAAAAATATTACACAACTCACATGTAAGCATTCATTTCCACAAACGCCATCAAGTCTACCCCTTCAGAATATAGCACCAGGGAAGCCTCTTTGTTCTAAGGCTTTGCATGCTGCACTGTTCCAACAGTGTCACTGTCTTGTAACTGAGTGGTGCTGTATTGACACAAATAGAAACACCTGCCAGAGGAGCTAAGCAGCTGCATCTCCCATTAAAGGGAGCCGGAAATGTAGGTGCTCAGTACCACCCTGTGAAGCCAACAGGAGTTTTGCTGTTGATTTCTATCGGAGTAGAATGGAGACTCTTTGTGAAGAAGCAGCCTGGGTTTCATGTAAGCTCTTTGGGATAGGGGCTGTCTTTTTATTCTCTGGCAGTACAGCACCTAGCAGACGAGGCTTCCAGGCACTACAATAATAGAAATAAATAATAATGAAAAATGTCTCAACCAATTAGCAAAGAGGGTGGACAGAAGAGAGCACAGCTGGACACTACCCACAAATGAAAGCCACAAGAAACATGAGCTCAGACGTAGGAATGTTACGCTATCCTTTTTGGAGCTGATTACCTGCAATAGTGGTTTGATACAAAGTTCATTATTTTACAGAAAGGAAGACATGGTCCCTTCCTTCTGGCGCTTAATATCTAAACAACTTTACCTTAATGAGACATTATAGGATTATCGTAAGAGGAGGAAGCCATCTGTTTTGTGAAAACTTGTCCACCACATTTTTTTCATCGTCTATAAAGAGACGGCTGCTAGTGACATTCACTCAGTCCTGACCTCAGGCAGCGTGGTTTGGTCATATTATGAACTGGTGCAAAAAGGTGGCAGCCAGATGCATGCTTCTCAATATCTAACCAATCTGCATATATTTTCAAATTACTGTTTTGATTTTTAGTCCAGTCCCAGAGCGCTCTTGAAGAAAGGGGGCATCCACACACAATAGCTTTCTTCTCTAAGCAACTTTATCAGCAGCAGGAAAACATTACACCCCTTCCTAATGCCCCACACCAAGCCTAACCACAGACTCATGACAAATATTAGAAAGTAAACAAACGTCGAGAAAAGAAGCATCTTTCCACAGTTACCCTTAATTCAAGGATGTAGACACCATCTTTTTTACCCCATAAATGCTTCTCACAAACTAACATTCTAACATTAAATCAGACAGCTCTGAGGAGGCGGTGGCCTGTTGGTGGATTGTGGGATGTAACCATCTGGAGAGGAGAAATGGACAGACTGCTGCTTCTTTGCCAACTAGATGATAGCAATGCGGGGCAACTTCCCTATGACAAAACAGGCCATGCCTTGATGGCAAGAACGCAAACATCCATTTACCAAAAAAATTTCATCCAAATGAGACATTTTAATGCCAAAGCAATCACTGTGTATGGTACAGCTAAATACAGAGCAAGTAATGATCCTGCATGAGGCACAACATAGGTAAATGACATAAACCTTTCTAATTTGGATTCTTATTATTCCCTCGTTAAAAGAGCACATGAAGTACTATACAACTTAAAAATGGTTATTATACATAATTTAGTAAAACAATCACACCAGACAGGTCCTATAAGCCAACAATTTACAGAAGGAAATAAATATATATATTTTTAAAAATGTAACACTGGACAGTTATACTCTATTTCACAAGGTTTTCAAGAAAATGCGACTAAAAATTGCATTGACACAATGCCCCTTTTTAGTGGCCAACTCCAATTCCAACTGAGTGACACAGAACAGGCTGTAAATACTGCTTCTTCAGCCACATTTGCAGTGAATAAGTTACTGCCTAGGACACATGGCAATGAAAGTTCAGCTCATTAACCTTTCCTCACTGTCTGTCACAAAAACAGCAAGGAGTATCAGGTTTGTGCCCCCAAGCAGACAGACTCCATGTGAACTGGCAACTTCCTTCAGTTCTTACCTTTTCTTTTTTTTTTGGTGTGTTTATGCAGCAAGCTTATCAACAAGCAATTGCACTGACTGCCTTTGCAAGAGCACTCATTGCTGTACTAGCCTATCTCCTTTAGCGTGGCATTTATACACTGTGCCCTTTGCTGTTTTCTCTGGAGGTAGCGCACTCGGGCATCCTGTATTGATTTATCATCATTCCTTTTCTCCATCTTCTTTGCAGAGTCATATTTTATTTTTTCTACAGAAAAACAAAACAGTACAATTGTGTGTCATAAATGCCACTTCCACCCCCCGACTTCACACTCATAGGGTTAGCTGATCAACTAAAACCAACAGAAGCTCAAATTTTTCAAGTGCTGCTCTCAGTCATGCCAATGGATGATCCAACGACCTCCAGAAGAGACAAACGGCAAAGTAACTAGGACGTCCTTTCTATGGAAAAACTAAAGTCTCAAAGACAAATATACTGTATATCCAGCTACACTTAAGTTATAGAAAAATCTTACCCTCAACCCTCTTGTCAATATTTGCACGTGCGATCACCCCTAGTATATATCTGGATCATGTTGGTTTTACTGTAACTGAGCCTTTGGGCCTCAAGTTCTATGCATTTGTTACTTTTCTATGCTACCTCTTCCATTTTGAAAAAAAATACAAAAGGCTTGGGAAAAATGCCTTTCTGGATTTATCTTGAAAGGAGAAGAAAATAAAAATGGAGGTAGATCCCTCTTCCAGGACTTCTCTCTTAGAAATGAAAACTCTCTCCTGCTCCCACTGAGCTATCTCAGATCATGGCAGTGGATGACTTCACCTGCCTGATTGTATTGGAGAAACATGAATTATTTGTCATAACATTAAAATGATTTTGATTTATATTTTCTTTTCTTTTTTCTTTTTTTTTTTTTTTACGATTACTCTTTTAATTAAGGGAAGTACTGATGGTAAAACATGCTATCTTGAAGCCTGAAGTTCCCTATTTATCCACAGGTCAGGTACAGCACAGGCTGTGACAGTTCACGATTCCCTCACAAGGCCCTGCCAGCGTCTCTCAAATCCGTGTCTGGAAAGGGCAGCTCAGGGGTGAAAGGGCCCTTTCAGTACTTGGCTTCTCTACTGAACCCGCTGACAAAAGAATTCAGAGAATGTCAAGCTGCTGAATCAGTTAATATGCACCAGTTTAATTAAACACAGACCATTATTTTTAAATCAGGTGTTAAACTTTGTGGACGTTACTTTGCTGACAATGAATTTCTGATGCTCTCCCCCCTCACCCTACCCCTTTTTCTTTCTCATCTGTAATATTATAGCTATTGGAATTTTTCTCTGACAATATCAGGTTAACAAATAATTATACTCTCTACAGTAGGGGAAATACCCTTTCCAAACCTCAAGTAACTTGTGAAAATAGGTGTTCATGTTCAAAATGCTTTTCTTCCAGTTACAGGAGTGTGCACAGCTAATGTTACTGACAGAAGACAAAAATCAAAAGAGGTGTGGCCAGGTTAACAAATATGAAATCACTAGCCTAGATGCTGCAATACTCAGTATGCTTATGCCATCTCTCTCATTCACAGCCCCCTAATATGGCTAAAATAGGCAGTCGTCAATTTCTGATTCAGGTTTATGGAAAGCTAAGTCCAGTTTGCTCACCATACTGTCGTTTGAGGTCTTCCTTGTTTTTCCACTTGGTTATTTCCTCCTCGGTCACCTCTTCCCGTGCCACACTGCTCAGTTCATACACATCAATTTCATGTAACTTGGGCAACAAGTCTTTGACCCACTCATAGCGAATAGGACACACCATCCTCACATAAATTTTAGATGTGACCAGGACATCATGGAAGATGATCCATTCAGGTTGAAGTTCCTGGTCATGGAGCTAAAGGTAAAGTTATTCACATTTTTTCAGATTACTATCTTGATATTCTTTCAATAAATGTGCTCTGCAGATTGACAGCAGAAAAAACACAGGTCCTAATTCAGATTCTTGCCACAAATTGGTTAACAGCTAAACCCTTTTGTCTTGCTCTCCTCCACATTCCCTTTTGAGAAGTTATATTTAATCCTTCATGCCTTCCTATGGCTTTTACTTTGGAAAGCTGAAACATCCAATTTTTAACCAGACTAATTCAGAACCTAGAGTTGCCTTTAGTTACATTTATCAATAATGGTTTTCATTTCTAGAGCATCTTCCAGAGGAGGATCTCCAAGTACTTCTGACACATGAATGGATTAATCCTCTTAAAAAAGCCTGTGAGGTAAGTTAATAATTATCTCCTTGTTGCAGACGGGAAAACTGAGGTATAGAAGTTAGTGACTTGCCCAAAATTGCACAGAAAGTCAGTAAGAGTCAGAGCCAAAATTCAGATCTACTAATTTTCCAGTTCTGGGTTATAGCCACTAGATTACATTCCCTTCACAAACCAAACATTTGTATGGATTCTGATTCTGTGCGACTCCCTAAGGAAAGATGTGGTATAGGCTAGTGTCTTACAGTATGGAGGCTGTGTACAATATTCCATATGGCCAGAAGCTAGCTTCAATCTTACACCAGGAACAAGCAAGCCAAAGATCAGGGAAACAATTTGCATAGCCTGCTTTGTTTTCCCATTTACCTGAAAAAAACACCCAGACAACTATTAGCAGAAGTAAGTAACTTACTGCTGATGAAGGATGAAGATGGACTATGCTACCATGTCCGTCCATCGTGCAGAATGTCCTGCCTGCGGACCTAAAAGCATGAGGAATATTTTTATATCCAGTGACATGCTTAGCTGTGCTTAGACAGCAACATAATCTAAAAAGAGCAGCAGCAGGATAGGAGAAAATGGTTAGCATAGAAAAAATAAACTTTCCAGAAATAAGTGTAAAAACTAGATACGGATTAAAACATCTCTTTATACATCATATTAACTCTCTTTTCAGTCCAAACTTTTGATTCTGTGACAAATATGGTTTTAGATTTCCATCTTGCTGACAGATGATCATGCTGACATCCACAAAGCCCTTTACAAATATTAGCTAGGCTTCCCAAAGCCCCCTGCAAGGTGAGTAATTAAGTATTATCCCCCCACATTTCACAGATATGGAGACTGAGATACCAAGAAGTTAAATAATTTGTCCAAAATTACAATGAGAGTCAGTGGCAGAGCTGGCCCTGGAAATTAAGACTCCTGGCTCCCAGTCCTGCACTCCGACAGCTCCTCTCCTGCTGTAACAAGTGAAGTTGACCCTTTTAATAAGCTGTGGTACAGTCTTGCGACTATTTGTTTTGATTTATAATCACATACTAACGAATGTGGCAAATCTTTTCTATGCAATTCCCAAAACTCCACTCCTTACCTTCTGGCTACATTGGTGAAGTACCCCGTGCACAGACATCTTCGGAGTATCTCATTTTTGGAGCCATCAAAACGCTCTCTTGGGAAGTCTGACAGCTGTATAAAGAGCAGCACAAAATGGATTAGTGTCTTTGTTAAAGGAAAATTGGTCACACTTTTCCCCACTCAGGAGCTTAAACCTTGTGTTTCACACTTCATAGTCAGCTATTTTATATTACCTTCCTTTTGTCCGTTCCTACCATTACACCACAAATTTAGGATTAGGCTACAATGAGGTGTGTACTTATTAAAAAAAAAAAAAAAAACTAAGAAAATGAGTTTAGATTAGGACAAAGATGGTGGCCATCTAGTGAAGACTCCATACTGCAGTACACATCTAACACAGGCACTTGTGCAAAGACAAATACCACTAATTTACATTAGAAGGAAGTTTGTTCACCTGTTTAAGCTTACTGGTTATTTCCTGAAGTTGTGCTTCCACACTAAAAGCAGATTTTAAAGCTCTGAAGTGGACCCAGTGTTTCTGGCACCAAGCTACAGGAGACTTGCTAGGAATAGAGATACTGGTGTTATAACGAGGCCTTTCGTAAGTGAAAGGCAGAAAGTTGCTACTATTTTTTATTATGGTTGTACAAAGAAGACAAACATTCAGATATTTTGTAAATTCAGACAGCAGATTCCTTGTACTCTACATATATTACAGTATGCAAAAATCCGCATCTGGGTATGAGCACATGTACACATAGATGGACTTTAGACAATAAATGTACAATAGAACTCCCAGTTGATATCTTCTGTGTATTGAATAAATACCTATTCATAAGTACCTTGATTTGCACTGTTCAAAGATGTTTAAAAGGGTTGCAAAATCATTGCATCCTCCTGCCTCTAATGACAGCTCCTGGTGGCGGAGTTCTGCTTCCTTTTGTTTCAGAAGGTCATCTGAGGAAATACTAAGTTATATTTCACTTTAACAAATTCAATTTTCATTTGTCACTCCTACCTTAGTATTCTATAATCTCTCTAAGGTGCAGCTAAAAGTCTTGGCTCTTTATTTAGATTATTTTAAGACTCATTTCTTTCCCTCCCACCCCCAGCCTCAGTTTTGTCTCTCCCACTTCTGAGAACATGAAGCTGCTGCTAAGGCTGTGATTAAAACTGTCAGCCAGCACTAGAGATGTAGCTTTGATGCAAGTGCTAAACTCTCTCCTTGGGAAAGTAAGTGAGTATTGTTCTCTCTGATGATCAATTCTGAGTTGTCATGTAGAATGACAACATGAAAATATACAAAAGCAACAGAGTTTAAAGAAAGAAAAGGAGTACTTGTGGTACCTTAGAGACTAACAAATTTATTTGAGCATAAGCTTTCATGAGCTACAGCTCACTTCATCGGATGCATTCAGTGGAAAATACAGTGGGGAGATTTATATACATAGAGAACATGAAACAATGGGTGTTACCATACACACTGTAACCAGAGGGATCACTTAAGGTGAGCTATTACCAGCAGGAGGGGTATGGGGGGACCTTTCATAGTGATAATCAAGGTGGGCTATTTCCAGCAGTTGACAAGAACGTCTGAGGAACAGTGGGGGGTGGGGGATAAACATGGGAAAGTAGTTTTACTTTGTGTAATGACCCATCCACTCCCAGTCTCTATTCAAGCTTAAGTTAATTGTATCTAGTTTGCAAATTAATTCCAATTCAGCAGTCTCTCGCTGGAGTCTGTTTTTGAAGTTTTTTTGTTGAAGAATTGCCACTTTTAGGTCTGTAATCAAGTGACCAGAGAGACTGAAGTGTTCTCCGACTGGTTTTTGAATGTTATCATTCTTGACGTCTTGATTTGTGTCCATTTATTCTTTTACGTAGAGACTGTCCAGTTTGACCAATGTATGTAAAAGAATAAATGGACACAAACCAGTTGGAGAACGCTTCAATCTCTCTGGTCACTCAATTACAGACCTAAAAGTGGCAATTCTTCAATAAAAAAACTTCAAAAACAGACTCCAACGAGAGACTGCCGAATTGGAATTAATTTGCAAACTGGATACGATTAGGCTTGAATAGAGACTGGGAGTGGATGGGTCATTACACAAAGTAAAACTACTTCCCCATGTTTATCCCCCACCCCCCACTGTTCCTCAGACGTTCTTGTCAACTGCTGGAAATGGCCCACCTTGATTATCACTACAAAATGTCCTCCCCCGCCCTCCTGCTGGTAATAGAGCACCTTAAGTGATCACTCTGGTTACAGTGTATATGGTAACACCCATTGTTTCATGTTCTCTATGTATATAAATCTCCCCACTGTATTTTCCACTGAATGCATCCGATGAAGTGAGCTGTAGCTTATGAAAGCTCATGCTCAAATAAATTGGTTAGTCTCTAAGGTGCCACAAGTACTCCTGTTCTTTTTGCGAACACAGACTAACACGGCTGCTACTCTGAAACCAGAGTTTAAAGAGTTTCTAGAAATCAAGTGAGTGGAAGATTTCATCATCTGAGCAGCAGGCCCTCACATTTCAGATGAGACCAAAAAAACAGGGCCTGCTGCTGCTATTTGTGGGCAGTTTCATTTACCCTGTTGAACCTAACTTATGTCATGAAGTCCAGATAACATGGCGATGGATAGATAAAATAAATCAATAGTTTGACATAAAACTCAACCCACGAGTCCACAGAAACCTTCATGTAACTGCAAAGAATGTGTCATGCCAAAGAAATAACATTTCAGAACTTTGACCTCAAATTTTGAGCCCCAAAGGACTACCCAACCCCAAGTATAGATAGATATGGCTACTTTAGGCCAATGCAGTATGCTGCTGCACTTCCCCAGGCCCTGACCACACATACATTCAGGTATTTAATTTCAAACACATGTGGCTCCACTGAAGTCAACAACAGTACTCATGCACTTAGCTTTAAGCACATGAGTAAGTATTTGCAGGATGTGAGCCTATGCCATGATCCCTTGTTTCCAGATTGACAGCTACACTGTTTAACAGGGACTGGAGTCCCTGCACTAGTTTGTTAGCTGGCTGAAAAGGAAATGTGAACAAGCTGCAAAAGGAGCCAGAGGGAGAATGGGAAAGCAAAAATCAAGTCTATGGGAGTGTGAGGAACTGCAGAGTACCATCCAACAGCAAAAATCCTCTGATAGCTCACTTTCAAGGTGCTGAATGTCTGAACTGGCTTTTGCCGCTGTATCAACAAAAACAAGTTAATACGTTACAGAGATAACCAGACACGGACAATGAACACGAGCAGAAAGGACAAAGTTCTCCCCAAGGCTTTGCTACACACACTTTTTTAAAAAGCAAGTGAGCTCAGTGCTAGTGAAAGGTTCTGATCTGAAAGCCCAGCAGAATTAAATCTTCTGGTTAGTCACAGAATTGGCATAGGACCAGCAGCAGCAGTTCATGTTTCCCCCACACAGACTAATAATCCTGCCCCAGAGGGAACACTTCTAGGGTGAGTTCATTCTTTTAATCTAGTCAGCTCTTGGTCTCTCACTGCAGATTGACCAAAAGTGGATCCAGGTAGCATCTGATGAGGTGTTATTTTTTGTTACAATACTAGATCTGCGCCTGCCAATTGCAACGGCATCTTTCAACAGTGATGCTCCCCAAGCTGCTACAGACAGCGTTTACGAAATACACTGGCTTAGGGTATGCAGCCATGTCTCCCTCTGGTGACTGGGCTAGTTGAGAGTACAAGCTTGCTCCTTACTGACAGCTCAAGGGAGTCATTCTTTTAGCTCAAGTGATAGGAGCTTGTGTTTCTTTTGCTGGAGATTCCCAGATGATGATTCCTACTGATGACTGAAGTGTGTGTATGTGATGAGCTGTGGCTTCACATAACTAATGACATTAGGAATGGAAAACTAGTGAAGAAGTGAAAGACAAAATGCAAAAGGACATTAAGGACAAAGTTCTCCAGACTGAGCACTGGGTGTTGACCAACCACCTCCCAGCACACATTCTGCTCAGGATACAATTCATAACTTTTGAGGACCTGCTTCTGAAGAATGGGGTTTCTTACCAGGCCGTATGAAGACATTTTCCACAGACAACATCGCAGCTATGGGAAGCAACAGATCTTCGCAGTCAAGAGAAGCTGCCTTTATGACAGCACAGGTCAGGTTTGGAGGGAGAGGAAATTGCACCAAAAACTCTCCCAGTCTTGTCACGCGGCCTCTCCTTATTGGGAGGAAAAGATTCAAACATCAGATTGAACAGACTCAATCTGTAAGGCCAGAACATAGGTACAAGACCCAAGTAGCCAGGACATCTCCAACAGAGCCTTCATTGGCTCTTATATAAACACACACTCCCCAGAGGCCCAGAAGAGACAGAGGCCTAGCAAATCCAGACAGCAGATGATCCTCTAGCCTAAACTCTCCCACAGCTTGCCCACGTCCTGCCCCATCTGCACTGTCAGTGGGGGTTTTGAGTGCAGGATTAGTGTGAAGAATTCTTAGAAGCTTAGGATAAGATGTGTGTGTGCTACTCTCTTAAGTATCATATAGGCCCCATTACTGTTATGTCTGGGTATCTCACACACTTTAGCATATTTAGCCTCACAACAGCCCTGTGAGGTGTTATTTTCCCCATTTTACAGATGGGGAAATAAAGCACAGAAAGACTAAGTGACTTGCCCAACGTCACACAGGAAAATCTGGAACAGAGCAAGGAACTGAATCCAGGTCTCCTGAGTCCCAGGTTAGTGCCCCAACCAGTGGCCCATCCTTCCTCTTGGATCAGAACATTCTTTTCAGACTGAAAAATATTTAAGTTCATGCGCAAACTAATATATGTGCTCTACTGCTGAGGAAAGTAATCTACTTTATGTTGCAACTCGTTAACAGTACAAAATTAAGTCACAAAAACTTTTTGTAAGTACTAAGGTTGAAAAGGTAAAAAGTTTGTTTTTGCCCTTTTTACCTGTCAATAGCATCACACTGGTAAAGTTGCTTAAGAGCCTCTAAAATATGCCTCTCTTCAGGGCGGTCCAAATAGGGGAACCTACAAACAGAAAGGCTGGATAAATTCCACAGCTTGGGCTCAAGGTAGTTGGTTAAAGCTGTAAGTGTTTTATATATTACAACACTCCTGGAATCCTTCAATACAGGTCAACAACCAAGGGGAAACTGTGTGTGCACGTGTATATATAATAGTTACACATTTCTCTTTAATGAAGAAAATAGCTTCCATATCCCAAAAGAGCTCTGTCTGCACACACAAATATATCTATATTTACACACACACACCCTGCACATGGGACCCTCACGTTAATTATTCCACCAGGGTCAAGTTTTAGGCATACAAACCTCAACAACGTTCCTTTAAAACACTAACAAAGATTACTGCTATTTCAGGAGCTAGTTTTGACAGATCCCCAAAGAGATCTAAAGCCTAAGACACAGCCTAACACTGGAGATTTTTAGGAGAACGACAGAAGAGTTGATGTTGTGGAATTGTCCCATTTGCCCTGATACCTAACTGTGTTCTTGGTACCAACATGACAGTGTGCCAACCCCCTCTAATACGCATTGCCAAGACTCAGGAGGGAGATTACAATTGCCTCCACCATGGGTTACCTTATGACATCATGTACAGCAAGGCACTTCAAGGTCAAGATCACAGATGTAAGACTAGTTCTCTTTATCTCTGGGATCATGTGATTAGGCATACACTGATCCCAGAATTCCTTGCTGTACACCCTGTAGCATTTTCCAGGTGATGTCCTGCCAGCTCGGCCAGCTCGTTGCATTGCTTCACTCCTCCAAAAATAAGCAAAGAAAAATAATGCTGTGCATGTCAAAGTAGCCAAGCACCCTATAATTATGATCAACGATAGCAATTTGTGTGTCTCTGGATGTAGGATTTAATATATTGTACAGGAACCCTGCTATACAAAATGTAACAGCATGAAGAAGTGATATTGGGCAAAACTTCCTGAACTTCTTTCAATTAGTTGTGCTCAGTACCGGAAAGATGATGTGTAAATCATTTTCAGATTACAGATAATACATGGTGAGTTCTTCCTCACTGTTCATGATTAAAATTAAAGTACCATGCTCTACTAAAATGTTTTATTTACTATCCCTGATGTTTTCTAAATATTGACCTGACAGAGCTGCAAATTAAAGCTAAATGTGCTGCAGTGTCTCCAAGATCTCTCTGCTCTTCTTTATATTGGGAAAATTGGCAGTCACACAGTACATTCAGAGCAACTTTCAAAGGCAATCTGAGGACTTTTCTCAAACCAGAAAGTAAACTACCTTTCTTCTAACTTACTTTGAAATGGGAACCACCTCCAGTATGTCCAAGCCAACCCTGGGGTTATGATTTAACTGCTTCACAAATCCACTATCAACTACATACCTAAAAAAAATTAAAAATATCTTAAGATACAGGAAAAAGGACCTAGATCAGGCAGTGGCTTAGGTTCCTTATCCTTAGTCAGTCAATTAGTAACATGTCAGATGGAACACAGTTGGTCTGTAAATGTGGAAGAAGATAATTTCACTCTGCTGGCCAATTACTGAACTACAATGGGATGAACCTTGAGGAAATTCTTCATATAGGGCTTGTCTACACAGAAATTACACTGATTTAGTTTCAGAGTAGCAGCCGTGTTAGTCTGTATCCGCAAAAAGAACAGGAGTATTTGTGGCACCTTAGAGACTAACAAATTTATTAGAGCATAAGCTTTCCTGATTTAGTGGAATCAAAGTACTGGGTTTGGTTTCAAAATAAGATAAACTGATATTAAGAACTCTTTAAGCCTATTTAAGAGTGCCAGAGCAAAAGCGATGCATTAATTTATTAAACTGATTAAGAAACATTTCTTGTCTACATAAAGAGAAGAGTCACTTACTGCAAAAGGGCATGTAATTACTCAGCAGGATCAGAACAACAGAAACAGGAAGGGGAGAACTGGATGAGGTTTTTCTAATTCTAATGCAACTTTGAGTCAGACCCTTGGTTACAGCTTTTACCAAGGACAGGAAATAGATACCTGATTCCATCAACTGTCAGAGAAGTTGCAGCAACGTTTGTGGATACAACACATTTTCTAATGCCTGGAGGAGGTGGCAAAAATATTCTTCTCTGCTGATCTAAAGAGAAAGAGTCCATCAATTAATCCTTTACGTCAGGATGCACAAAAGTCAAATTCCTACTCTAGAAAAGGACAAGATTACCCACTAAAGACAGAAAATTAATGGAGGTCCTTGGGTTAAAACTAAAAGTGAGCCAGGAGATGAATTTCAAAACAAGAACTGCTTTACAATAGTCTTTAATATACTTGTCGGGAACATCACCTCTTCTCTGTTGTTCCTTAAGAAAGTCTCTAGCTTAAGTGCTTTTAAGTGCAGCCCTTTTGAATAGCTCTTGTGCAAGAGAAATACAGACGTAGGGAACCAAGCAAAATGCCAGCTCAAAAAATGGAATGTTTAAGAAGGATTTAAAGCATGTTAAGAAACAACCTGAGGTCTAAGAAACCAAAGCAACTGGAGATCAATAGAATAAGTTTCCCATCAAAATTAGTTAAAACCTTAACATACCTTACTGTAGGTTAAGATAAGATGGATTTTTTGGGTAACAACACATTTCCCTCGGTCTTATTTTGAAAGTCTCCTAAGGCACAGATGAGAATTGGGCATCTAACTTTCCTCTGTGCCTTTCAAAATCCCCCCCCTAAAGTCATATGTTTATACTTAGATTGCAAGCTCTTTGGGGCATGGCCCATCTTTTTGTTGTGTGTTTATATATTGCCACGTTCGGGGGTCCTAGGCACTAGCACAATAATAAAATAATGATGGCTTTCAAGCACTATCCTGGTACCTTTGGTGTTGTAAAAATAAATAACTCCCTCTCTCATTCAACCCTCAGCAAATCTTTTTGGGAGGGAACAAGGTCTGCACCCTCCCCACATGTCTTCAACCAATATACTCCCTACAAAGGTTTCCAGGCTCTAAAATTGCTGACCTATTCTTCTCATGTATATTTATTCTGCCTTTCAGCATTCTACACATTGCACCCCACAATTAAATACCACATTCAAGATCATCTGAAGTGAAAACACACCTGTTTTTATAAGGGTCATGAAGCCTGCGTTTCTAAACCCTTCAAAATTAGGCAGTGACACCGCAGACTGACTTCGTTCAGTAATTTACACCTTCTATATAGGTGTAACACCACACTCTTTGTATCTTCTCTTGTATGTATAATCCTATTGCCACATATCTTATTGGCAATACTTTTATCTTTTTTTTTTTTTTTTTTAAAAAGGTAACTGTTGATTAAGATTAATTGTAGCAACACAACGGAGCAATTATGTCAAATCCCTTTTGTAACAGCTACCAAACATATTTTAATTGAAAATGGGTATCATATCTCCCCATAACAGACATTATCCACAAATTGAATGTGAAGCTTTTGAAACTATACTTTATTTTAAAAGCAAACCCTGGACTAAAAGGAGAAAGACTTCCTGGCACTCAACACCCCCATTAGCCAGTTAAAGAGCAGAGTTAATGAGCTTTAACAATAATAATTCCATCCATTCCTTAGGTGGAAGGACAGTAGCTACAACTGGAATCCTGAGGGCAAGTATGACGATCCACTCATAGCTAGGGAATCCTCAGGCTTCTCGTTACGACACAAGAATTTTCCTTGATAGAAGCAGAAGAATGCAACAGCTTTACAAGAAAAGTTATGTGCGTTTTCAGTACAGGAAAGACAACATGTCATTATGAAAAGGTATTGACAGGATCTGACTATTTAATGGATTTTTGCCAACTGCCTTTATGAACCAGCACACAATACAATTCTTTTTTGTTACAGAAAATAATACCTTTTCCTATTGAGGCTGCAACGGGAATTTCAGAGAGGCAGAATGTCATCATCAGTGCTGAAGTTTGGCCAGGACATCAAAGCCAGCAAATTCTTGTGAACACCACTATGACATTTTTAATAACCACAAGTAGTCAGAACTTTGGGGTCTGGTACAAACTGAAAGACCGAACTTCCAACAACACGGCATTCACTTTTTCCATGCTAGGACGGTCACTCAGGACTGATCTGGAGAGAAGGGCACTGCCTTCTAAGCCAACACTGCCACTTCCAGCAGCATATGGATTTTAATTCATGGTTCCCGAGCAAGAATTGACTTGGCCAGATTATGATTAGCTTGTGACAATACTGCTTTATTAATCTCTCAAACAGGTAAGCAAATATCTGGGTTGTTTCCATTCAAAATAAAAGTATTTGTCCACGATGTCCCATGTAACCATTAACTGCAGCTAAAATCTGCATGAACTAAACATAACATTATGTTTAATTCAGTAAGCCTTACCTGTTGGCATTGACCCATACAATGGTAAGATAAGCAAACCTTCAACAGAACCATCTTGCACATCATAGCGGTAATCAATAGATTCCGCTTTTTGGAAAAGTAAGTCGCATGTTCTTTCTATCTCAGATTGTCCTAAAGCAAAATACAGAAGCACTTAAAATATAAACTATTTAGTGAGGACTTTACCTTGTTAGTTTGCAACAACTCTACACAATCTAGTCTTTTATACATACTATGGAGATGTCAGTACAACTGCGAGGGTAAAGGAAAATTAACTGGTCACTTGCAGTCTTTTCAAACTGGGATTTATGCTTAGGGTTTCTGTGCAACAGTGATGGTTTTGACATGTATTTTGTATCAGGTTTTATTAACTCTTTCAGCAACCTGAATTATAAATTAACTGAGTTTTTGCCAGGAGGATTATTTAAGGAGCTTCTCTCTTCCAGAAGATAGCAGGAAAAACTTATACTGTACAAATATACAATGCATGCTTCATTCTTCTACATGAACATAGAAAAACCAATCTGGAGTTTATCTTCTCTCCCATATTGGAAAGAGTTGATCAACTTGATTATTTTGTTTGTTTAAAGCCCCCTATGAAATCAGGGCGAGGTTCTGGTGTGCAAGGAATGTAAGAACAGGTCCATAGAAGAAAAGTGACACCAGTCATTTTCTTTCCTCTTTTCACATCCCATAAAACAAGATTTCGTACTCCTGCTTCCTAGTGAGGCAAGCTGTGTAACTTTCTGTATAGAATCTCTCTTTTCCAAAGGGCAGAAGAGTGGATATATAACTAGATGTGGTTTATTTTCAACTTTTTGGCTTAGTCTTTATTATCTAATAACACCTCTCTCAAGGGACTATATCCTGCCCTGGTAGGGGGCTGGACTCTGATCTTGTTGTTCTGTACTTCTATAACCACTAGTGACTACTGCCATCACACAATCCAAATCCTGAAAGACTGGATTTATAAAGGAATAGGGAGGTAGTTAGGGCATCTTTCTTCTGACCATTAGGATAGGACAGAAACATCAGGACTAGAGGCAATGTTAGAGGTATATAATAACCACAGTTGGAAAAGCTATCCAAACAGCTTTAGGATAGGATTTTTGGAAGTGCCTAAGTGACTTAGAAACAAAGTTCTATTATCTTTCAATGGGACTTGTGGTCCTAAGCCTTTCGAAAATCCCACTCACAATCTAAAATCATTACATGTTTGCCACAGCCACTTTCTCTATATTTGCCTTCCGTGCCCTAGCTCAGTTGTGCATTGCTGCAGTGATGCATCTAGACACAGCTCTAATGCCCCCAGTGCCCACTGTTCTAGAATGATCTGGGCATTCAGCAGTAAGACAATTCTTTCTGTTGGCAAGGCCACTATTTGGCACAGGATAGAGTTTTTCAAGTAAAAAGGAATTCTCACCAGTCAGAAAAACCAAGATGTCTCCCGCTGACTCATTCAAGTGGATATCCAGGGTCACTTTTACAGCCTGAAACAAGCACCACTAACAGAATTATCTGCTGGAATTAGAGCTTTTCTCATCACTGGTTGTAACTGACAGTGTAAATCAATTCCCTCCTCCCACTTTCCACCACAAAAACTAGGAAGCTTGAGAAACCAGCCTTGCATGAAGTGTTTAATTCTTCATGCAGAGATGAGCTCCAATGCTCTTTAAGAGCTCATCATCATACAGCTAACAGAGAGAACATGGCAAACAGGCAAAGGAAAATAAGCAATACCTCTGTAACATAAGCAGAGCTTTCTGCATCCTTTGGGCCAAGCAGGCTGCAGAATATCTCCTTGACGGGATAATTCCTTCCTGGAATGTCCACCACTGTGCAGCCTCCAAAGAACTCTGAGAGCTTGTCTACCTCCAGGGTGGCTGACATCACCACCACCTTCAAGGCTTTCCTTCTCTTGGGAGGCTTCTTTTGTTGGAATAGTTTCTTCAGCAAGCCAAATAAAATGTCCTGAAAGAAAGAGTCACCTTACCTTCGCAAGTCAACTCTTTGGAATACAAATGCCCACTGAAATACATGGGGAGGGGTTGATTTTATCCCAGAGTTACTGGTAAATGGGACAAAATTAAGCAATGTGCTTTGGGGGCACAAGTGCTTTAAAAGGTTTTTTCCTTCTTGTAAATATTCTGGTTGCTCTCTAAAGCTTAGCAACAAAATGCTTAGTAGGCTTAAAGAAACCCAAGTTTTTTTCCACAGCTCTGTAACAGCAAGCTGAATCAACACAGCTAAAATACCTTGCTTCTCATTCCTAATTCTCCCCTCAGTTGCAAAAAGACAACTGTTTTTAAAGCAGTGCCAACACTTTTTGTTAGTAGTTCCCCCACAGGAAAATGGCACTTCCTTGTGTTTGTGCTGCACTCAGAGGTGGTCTCTTTCCTCAGTTATTATGCAAAAAATAAAAAAATGCAAAAAACTGAAGTAGGGAGAGGTGTGGGAAAAAATCAGATCCACAGGCTAACTGTCAGAAGAGTGCAACCCTTTCCCCCTCACACTCCCATCTCAGGAGAGACTTGTAAAGTGTAAATGTGCTTTGGTTTAATCCCTTTGATTTAATGCCAAAGTTCAATAGAATACTGGGACTTACAGTGACAGAACATAGTTATATTTTTTGCAACATTGATAACCGCAGCTGTATCAATGAAAATATGCTTGTAACAGGATTAAAGAAAAATGTCAAAACCGTGTGTGCTACAAACTACGCTGGGTAGTAGCCAATCTCATGGTTTCACCTAGCATGTTTGTTTAAAAAAAATTCCCATCCACTTTGTGCAGTGGAACCTTGCTAGTAACTTTCATGCTAGAAAAACTGACAGCTTGACTGCTGTTTTTGAACAGAACAGCTAACAGTGCCAGGAAGAGTGTTGACGGGACTTTAAACTGTCAGATGTTGCAAATTCAGTAAATAAGAAGCCAGTTCATGCTGTAGTGAAGTCATAAGAATACACCAGAAGTAGAGAAGACCATTGGTTTCAGAGAAGAGCCTCACTCCCAGCCAGAAGGCCTTGGGGATTGTCCAACAGCCAAAGGAAGGAATTACAACAAAGGAAAGATTACAACAGTGGAGACAGTCACCCAAACTGAACAGGCAAACACAGAAGCACTACAACCTCCCATATACGAACTGTAAACCTCAATGCATTCAAAGAGAAGAAAAAAAAACAGCCTATGCTACATGGACCTTCTCTGTCTGGATGGTGCAGATAAGGGGGACAACACGTTTAATTATTAGAAGAGTGGGCAAAGGAGTCAGGACCCCTGGGTTCTAGTCTAACTTCTGACAACAATTCACTGTACGAGATTCTAGATAAATCACTTAACTATTCTATGACTCAGTTAAAAGCTTTCAATTACTTCTGTAAAATGATGGTAAGTCACACAGGAAGGTCAGGTGGTTTAGTTAGCATGTAAAGCACTTTGAGATCCTTAAAATGAAAGATGCTATCAAGGGGCAGAGGACCAGCTTTTTAGTCTCTTATAACTGAACTAAACAGAATTAACTCCTCCAGGAACTAAGGACCATCACAACTCTCACCACTTTCCATTCTGAGGTGTTTCTTTGACCTGGCCTTCTCTCACAAATACATAGCGACATGTACTTTCATAAAAAAAAGCCAGCCGACCAAAACAAGACACTCCACTGCAAACACTTCTCCCCTTGGAGAAGGAATAGGAGAACAAATTAATGACAGATGTTAGTCACATCACTTCACACACTAAGGGGATGAGTGCAGCATAAGAACCTATAGAGAACAGATCTCGAAGTTTCTTTTTAGTTATACTGAATGACGTGTGTCAAATAAAGAAAAACTCACTGTGCTTAAGCTCCGCTCATGGGCTTCATCCAGTATAATGATGCTGTATTTGGTAAGATGGAGGTCTGCCAGTATCTGTCTCAGTAAGCAGCCATCAGTCATATACTTGATTGCAGTACCCTGAATAGTTTAACCATCCATTCAGTTATTGCCCTGGATATGGATTTCATTACATACAGTCACATATCAGGAGCGACTACAGACTGAAGTTGATGATTTAGACTTTTCAAGGTTAGTGAGAGACTTTACATACTATAATTAACGTACTAAGCCATAGCCACAAAAGACACTTGCTAGGTTTTCTGAAATACTTAAGTAATGTTTTAAATACTGGACTGTATTTGTAATGTGCTACATTTCTAATCTGTGCTGTCCTTTTCTTCTTTTCTAAATTGAGTGATCTCATCATCACCTCCTAATGACAATCCAATAACTGTGATTTTGTAATTAGAATTAAGTATTCACCTACCCCACGCACATTCAGACTGTTTAAAAAACAACCTTCTCGATGAGAATTTGTGGGTTCTGTGGCTATCCTTCAGTTGTAATATGCTATGAAATCATGAACAGCATATAAAATCGATTTGAGCCATATTTCAGACTGCTAAGGTTGCATCTCCACCACAGATACAGATGCACATACAGAATGCAATTAAAACAGACATCCTGGATGGCAGAAAGCAATTTTAGATTTAAACTAACCCACAAAACAGATCATGATGAGCGTCCAAACTTTGTACAAGCACCTTTATGTAAATGTGCATGTAGCTCAAGGACAACCTAACTGAAAGGTATTGACACATAGCTCTATTTTACATATTGACAACTTGCCATGAACTCAAGGGCTGCACCTGATTTGTATTAAATGGAACCACTTGCAGTCACCTCTTTTAAAATGGAGATGTGCCTCACAGAGACTATATAGGGCCCAGAATGCAATGATTTATCTTGCTCCATTAAGAGAGATTATTTATTAATGTTATTTTAAAAAAATAATCTTCAACTCGTACCTCAGAGGTGCAGTCATCAAAGCGAACCTGATATCCCACTATGCTTCCCAGTGAAGAGTTCATCTCCTCAGCCACTCTCTGAGCCACAGACATGGTAGCTACTCGGCGTGGCTGAGTCACACCAATCACTCCATGCTTTAGAAAGCCTACAAAAGGCAAAGAAATTGCTTCATCAAAGAATTACCTTCGTGGTAGGTTAACTGTTGCTAATATATTTTTAAAGTCTTCACTGACTGATTTCACTGATTAGTATCTCCCTCTCCTCTCACTCACCAGTGAAGTTCAACACACATCATCTTTGTTCAAAGATTTTTAAAATATTTTCCCTGATCTATTTTGCTAACAATTTTTGGAGAGGAGAGTGACTAGCATTTGTGGACCTCCTGGAAAAAGGAGAGCAAGAAACAAGAAAATTACTTAAATTTTAAAAAAAAGAAAAGGAGGACTTGTGGCACCTTAGAGACTAACCAATTTATTTGAGCATGAGCTTTCGTGAGCTACAGCTCACTTCATCAGATGTATACCGTGGAAACTGCAGCAGACTTTATATACACACAGAGAATATGAAACAATACCTCCTCCCACCCCACTGTCCTGCTGGTAATAGCTTATCTAAAGTGATCAACAGGTGGGCCATTTCCAGCACAAATCCAGGTTTTCTCACCCCCACCCCCCCACACAAATTCACTCTCCTGCTGGTGATAGCCCATCCTGACTTTGGATAGGCTATCACCAGCAGGAGAGTGAATTTGTGTGGGGGGGTGGAGGGTGAGAAAACCTGGATTTGTGCTGGAAATGGCCTAACTTGATGATCACTTTAGATAAGCTATTACCAGCAGGACAGTGGGGTGGGAGGAGGTATTGTTTCATATTCTCTGTGTGTATATAAAGTCTGCTGCAGTTTCCACGGTATACATCTGATGAAGTGAGCTGTAGCTCACGAAAGCTCATGCTCAAATAAATTGGTTAGTCTCTAAGGTGCCACAAGTCCTCCTTTTCTTTTTGCGAATACAGACTAACACGGCTGTTCCTCTGAAACCTTAAATTTTAAAGAGTATATTAAGAGTATCATCTAACTGAAAGGTTTTACACTTCACCAACAGCATATTAAGGAGAAAATAAATAGTTACCTTCTTCAAATAGATACTTAGGGAGCTGGGTAGTTTTGCCACTCCCTGTCTCCCCAGTCACAATAAGAAATGAATTGTCTCTGACAGCGTCAACTAGTTTCTGCCTGTATCTGTGAATAGGGAGGGCTCTGAAGTCTGAGTTTCCTTTGTCTTTTTCCTTTCGGCAACTGCATTTTCTCTCCATTGGGGCGACAATTTGAGAGCTCTCCTGTGGTGCAGATAGATAAATACACCTCCCAATGTTATAATTACATGCATGTTTGATATTTGTATCACAGTACACAGTAAGTGTTCTTTATTTCACATTACATTAAACAGAGAAAAACAGGCCCTCTTTCAGACTAATCCTAATGAGATGAAATTCAGGAGCTAGCAGAAGGTGGAGTCAGCTCAAGACATTTTCCTGACAGCTTCCTAACAGCAGAATTCAACCCCACTAAAGCACAAACCTTGGAGTCTCACACGAGAGGCAACACAACTCTTCAGTTAGGATGACTAGTGCAAATACTGAACTCCACAACACTGGGTTTGTGGGGATGAAATGGCCCCTGCCCAAACCTAGCGGTGTACTGGAGAACACAGCTACGCTTGTACACTGCCTACATGTAACCCACCATCCCACATTACCCATTAACCAGGGGAGGGGTGGGGGCGAGCAGGTGCCATTTCACTCATCCCCAAAACACAGACAGTAACCCGGGAAAGGAGCGAGCTGGGCAGGATCCATGACACCCCCTCCAGCCCCAGTAACTAGGGAGGGGAAGGGTCGGGGCAGGAGCCATGACACCCCCCCAGTAACCAGGGAAGGGAGGGAGGGGGCCGGGCAGGAACCATTAACCCCCCCACACACACAACCACTCAGTAGAGGGAGGGAGGGGGCCGGGCAGCAGCCATGACACACACAACACCAACCCCCCACCCCCAGGGGAGAGAAGGGGGGCGGACAGAAACCATGACACCCCTCCCCCAAGCCCCAGTAACGCGGAGCGGGGCGCCATTACTCCCCACAAGGCCCACAGCAGAGCTAGGAGGGGCCACCCGACGCCGCCGTATCCATGAGGAGTGGGTCCCTCTACCCTGGCCACAGGTACCTACCACCTGACTCCAGCCGCTCCCGCCTCCGGGGTAGGAACCCGGCGCGCTCTGATGACGTTCCGTGGGTACTTGGGGGCGCTGCAGCCGCCGGGGAGATGGGGCAGGCCCGGGGAAGTTGTGACCCCGCCCCCTCCTACCCAGGCCATGCCCATCCTCATCTCCTAGCCCCGCCCCTCCCCCTGCACTGGTCTCCACACAACCCCTGCGCCCTGCTGAGGGTCAACTCGGTGCCCCAGGCCTGCCCCGAGCCCCGTTCTTCCCCCACCAGTGTCTCCACTCCCTACGAGCGGCGAACACGGTCCCTGCCCCGGGGGGCTCCGCCGCCCCAGGGCTCTGCTCTCTCGCAGCCTAGTGGGGCTGCTTCGGCTCAGGACTCCCCACAGCTCACCCTGGTAGTATAGGAATAGGTGCCATAAAGCATGGAGAGGGGCACAGGCCAGGAGGCTGCCCTATTAAATGTAGTAGGGCCCTGACCCACCCGGGCCCTGCACCAGTCGTCCACCCCAATGCCAAGTGAATGTGAGACCCCACTGGGCTGAGAGAGTAACACTTTACCCCTACTTGTTACAGGTGAAAAGGAGGGTGCAAGGTTGGGGGGAATAAGGTCCCCCCTTTTGTTTAAACCCTTACCTTTATCCCTAAATAACAACAGAGCTAGTTATTCAAACCAAAAGACTGTCATGGTCACTGTTGACGCTGGTTTTTGCATTTCACTTAGCTTGGAGAATGTGAATACAGCAACCTGTTTTAGTTTGTTTATACACGCTTCCTAACTGGTTTCATTTTCTGGTTCTCATCCACTAGCCCAAAGGCTGCAATGTTTGCTGTAAATCCAATAGGGAACAATTGAAATCATAACAAGAAACACTTGTTGATTAAATAAAAAAGGTTCAGGGAGTGTTTAAACTACCTGCAAGTGACCCATTAATAGGAAAATCTTTCCCTAAAAACAATAAATTGTCACAACGTAATTGGAAATATTACAATACAATTCCAAACTTAACTATGTTGTAAATAAAAGTATATTCTAAATATATTAAATATATGCAAAAAGAAAAGGAGTACTGGTAGACCTTAGAGACTAACCAATTTATTTGAGCATAAGCTGTAGCTCACGAAAGCTTATGCTCAAATAAATTGTTTAGTCTCTAAGGTGCCACAAGTCCTCCTTTTCTTTTTGCGAATACAGACTAACACAGCTGCTACTCTGAAACCTGTCATTAAATATATGATGAAACAAAGACCATTTGAACAAAATCAAAAGCCTCCTTCAGCTTAATACAATTTAACACACACCTGTGATGTTTTTATTTTGATTCAAGAACCTCTGCTGAATGTTTTCTGGTTTTGATACTCTGGTGTGTAAATCCCAATATGCCCAGAAGGTGGCAAGCTAGTTATATTTAAAGATTATAGGGAAAAAACACAAATCCCCAAGTAAAAGGTAAATGCAGTATTATTGCTTCCACTGAAAGTAAGATTTCTATGTTATTTAAACAGTAAAATCAGTAATCAAAAGATTGAACATGGTGAAGAGAAGGGTTTGGACGGCACTTCCGTTCATCAAGGTAGTCATCAATATATCCACTATTGTTAGAAAGGATATGCAGAAATTATATGTACATCCTAAGATTTAGTCTGTCTTTAAGAACCCTGTTTATGTGCATTAAGAATGTTTCACCTCTCACTGGGATAAATAAGTGATGAGTACCACATTGTAAATGTCTCTTATTGCATAAGCACAGAACTAGGAGCAAGAAACTCCTAGGTTCTAATCCTACACTCACCAATGACTCCCCTTGCCATTATGGGCAAGGCATTTAACCTCAATACTTCAGTATCTCCAACTGAAAAAATTGGGATAATATTTACATAGATTACCTACGTAGCTCACAGAAAGTTTCAAAGACTGATTAGTTAATGTTTGCAAAGCACTTTGAAGCTATATCGCTGCCAAATATCATCATCATCAGACACCTCCAAACATATACACACTTGTTATGATCAGTTCATCAGTGCAGTGAACCATTTGTATCCAATGACAAAAACTCATCTATTAGCCAGTAGCACAGAAATTGCTCATCACCTTTTGACAAATTGTTCACATACCATTCTGTCTTGCAGCTTTCATATTCCCATGTTTGATTACAAGATATTCAGACACTCAGTAGCCATAAATCTTCCATATCTACCTGAAAACTTCTACAGAAATTACCCAAAATTATTTTAATGTTCATCTGGGAGCAAGAAAAACATTCAGTTTTACATCTAAATTAGTATAATCAATATATAGTTCTCTTCACTCAGGATACAGTATGGGATGTGACAATACACAATATGCTATGACTTCATTTTATGCATATGTACCTAATTTATTACCTTAATGTGATAGTGTTATGTTGCTACTAGTAACTCACTCTGCTAATAGCATTCAAATTAACTGTTTTACTATTCCCCAGTGAGGTCTACAAATATCCCATCATTGCATTTTCTTGGCACATTTTTAAAGATGGTAATTTATTAAGTGATATTCATCTGTACATGTTTTTTCTTCCTAACAGGTTTTATTTTAATCACACATAACATGCACTTTGTGTGTAGGCAGTTTTACACTGTAACAGTTTATGGAACCAGGTGAGGTGATTTTTTCCCCCCTCTTAGGGATGGCATGTTTAGTTTTAATCAAGCTCTTTGGCAGTCTTGAACTATGTCCTTGCAGTATATCGTGCCTTTCAACCGAGAATCTCATGCTGCTTAAACATTAATGAATTACACGCCTTGAGATATTATTTCAGTTTTGCAGATGGGGAAAACAGACACAGATTAAGAGGTCTGTACTAACAGCAATTTGGCAGAGCTGGGGAAAAAAATCCAGGAATCCTAGCTACAATTCCCTGCCCCAACCACTAATAACATGGCATCCGCATCCTTATAGCTGCTATGCTAATAAATGTGCTATGTGGGGTTGCACTTTTGTTTTCAGGTTTGCTAGAAAAAAATGCTCTTGGCCTAGGGATTAGGTTTAGACACCACTGCACATTTGCTCACTGAAAGAGGACAATGCTACTCTGCCACCTACCCTAGCTGAATTGTGCTGGACACACAGCAATGAATGTGTTTTGCTTTCTGCTGAGTAGAGAAATAGTTGAATACAGGAAACATTTCAGTGTCCTTAGTTGGACAAACCTGTTTTATCACCAACCTTCCAAGAGGTGAACTCTCTGGGGAATTTCTGGGGAATTTCTCTGTCCCTGTTCTGGAAGAGATGGTCTGTTCCATGATGAACATAGCATCCCCTAATGGCTGGAGAGAAAACCACATCTATTAATTACACTGAACAAGTAGAGACGGATAATCATGAGCCCGGAATCTCCATATATGGGAGCTGACAAGAAGAGAGATCCCTGAGCTTTAATTTGGTTGCAGACAAACCTAACATAAGCCAGTGTTTTACATAACCCAGCCTCATTTCAGATAGTCAATAGTTTTCCTTTTTCTGATTCATAGCTACTAAGGTCAGAAGGGACCATTATGATCATCTAGTCTGACCTCCTGCACAACGCAGGCCACAGAATTTCACCCACCCACTCCTGCGAAAAACCTCTCACCTATGTCTGAGCTACTGAAGTCCTCAAATCGTGGTTTAAAGACTTAAAGTAGCAGAGAATCCTCCAGCAAGTGACCCGTGCCCCATGCTACAGAGGAAGGCGAAAAACCTCCAGGGCCTCTTCCAATCTGCCCTGGAGGAAAATTCCTTCCCGACCCCAAATATGGCGATCAGCTAAACCCTGAGCATATGGGCAAGATTCACCAGCCAGGTACTACAGAAAATTCTTTCCTGGGTAACTCAGATCGCACCCCATCTAACATCCCATCACAGGCCATTAGGCCTATTTACCATGAATATTTAATTACCAAAACCATGGTATCCCATCATACTATCTCCTCCATAAACTTATCGAGTTTAATCTTAAAGCCAGATAGATCTTTTGCCCCCACTGCTTCCCTTGGAAGGCTATTCCAAAACTTCACTCCTCTGATGGTTAGAAACCTTCGTCTAATTTCAAGTCTATTATGTTAATACCCATCCTTTGTGTCACTAGCTATGAGTCAGCAACATTACTCAAAAAGATCTGTATCCCTAATGGAGGATGGTTGCTCCAGACACAGTATTATTTGTAGAATTTTTCCAAGAGCATCACAGTTGGAAGAAGATGCCTCCTATTTTTCACTGAGTTTATCTTATAATAAAAAGAAAAGGAGTACTTGTGGCACCTTAGAGACTAACCAATTTATTTGAGCATGAGCTTTTGCTCAGATAAATTGGTTAGTCTCTAAGGTGCCACAAGTACTCCTTTTCTTTTTGCGAATACAGACTAACACGGCTGTTACTCTGAAACCTATCTTATAATACTTTGCAGTTCTATAGCACTTTCAAATGAGGAACTCAAAGTGCTTTACAAACAGACAATTTTTGCCTCCAAACCCCATTATGAAGTTACTAAATATTGTCTCCTTTTACAGATGGGGACATGGGGCTTTTTCTTCAGTCTTCGCACTGAGTAGACTGTGTTCATGTGTTGAGACCCATTGAAGGCAGAGACTGAGTCAGTAGGTCAGACAAGATGATCACAATGGTTCCTTCTGGCCTTAGAATCTATGAGTGCTTCTCAGAATGAGTAATGGTTATAGAACCAGGCCCTCCTGTCCCAATCCTGCATGTTATGTTCTCTTCAAATCCTAGTTTTTCTATACCTGCAATAATGAAAGGTATTAGGTACTTTTCAGGCCTGCACCTCAACTAGTCATAAGCTTTGAAGATATCCTTGCATATTAGATCTTATCCCTTTTCTGATTTCCTTATCAAATGAGCAAAAGAATCAATAATTTACCTAGGCTTCCAATTCCAAATAGACTGCACCAGAGCTGTGACTTAACCATATACCCGCTAACAGGAAAATAACTAGATAAGAAACGCTCCTCACAAAAGAGCTCTTATTTTTGGCCTATACAAAATCCTTGGGCCCAAGTCTCAGTTACTCCAGTCCTGCAGTTGCTGCAGGGACAAGGGGAGGCAAAAAAGTGGCCCTAATCAATCTTTGTGATGCCAATATTCTGGGGAGCCAGAGGCCTGCTTGGTCACTGGTGCAAATCAGAGGACCCTCAGGTCTCTTATAAAACTTACATGGTATTTCCCACTTCCCCCTGTGGACTCTGAAAAGCAATGAACACTTGTAGAGCAGAGTGGTCTGGCCACACACAGTTAGCTGGGCACATGGAGCAGGGCTGGCATGAGCCTTTATGTTGGCTACACATGAGCCAGGGAGACTGCCTGAGCATGGATTTATTCAAGAGGCTACTTATGCCCCTTTTAGGCTTATTTAGTTTGCCTGAGTGGCATAAATTGGGCCCCTTTCTGCTACACCTACCACCCCACAGTGGGAAGAACTTAAGAGTATCTGGCAGCAAGACACTGGTAAAGAAATCTCTGTAGAAAACCAGCAGGACACACTTGCCTCATGAAAAGTGGGATACATTCCACTTTCAGTTACATTGATGTAAATCTGATGAAAGTCCATTGAAGTCTGTGGAATCATTGTAGATTCACACCAGTGTAAATGACAGCAACATTTCTCATTAGACATTTATACCTCCCTTGTCACTATGGTATCTGAGTTCCTTGGTCCCTGTCTTCCCATCTTATCAGACCCACTACATATTGCTAAATAGAACTCCCCGCAAATGCTTCAAAACTGCCTGACACGTACTCTATTATTGTGTTTAGAACAGTCTAGATGTTGCCAAGTTTTTGACAAAAATCTGTACTGACCCATTCATATTTTATAATAAGGTTGATAGTCTGCCTTTAGTACATGATCCCTTCTAAATGACAGTCAGTCTGAGATGAAAAAAATCAGTGATTCTCCCTGAGATATACCCCTGTGACAGCCAAACTAGAAATGGACTGTCCAATTCCCTGCGCTGGACATTTTGATGTGAACATCTCTACAGCATATAAAGTAGGGATATCCACTTCACACAGTAACCTTTTTGGCAGCAAAAAGTACAAGTCAGAACCCTGGCATCCTTTCATTCAACAGATGCAAGAGGAGATTCAGAATCACTTTGGGAAAGGACAGCATGACAGACATTGCAACTTTTTTTCAACAGACCTGAATGGGTGCTCAAAATTCTGCAGATCTCACAGCCCTCGTTGCACATTGTGATTAAAGGATCACTTACCTCTTTTCCACCACCTCCCTCCCTTGCCTTCGTTTTGAAGGGACTGTTAGATGTATCTTAATTAAGAAGAGAGCTAATATGGGATCTGTTAATCTAATATAAGAATACATATGTCACCTATCACCATAACATGTGAGCACCTCAAGGCCATTAATTATTGCATCCTCATCACCCTTGTGAAATATTTAGTTGTTACCTACATTTTACAGATGGGGAACTGAGGCACAGAGCAATTAAGTGACTTTCCCAACGTCACAGAGAAAAATTTTGGCAGAGTGGGGATCTGAACCAAGATTTCCTGAGTCCCAGTCCAGGGTCTTAATCACAAGTCATACCTGCAGCCTCTTAAGAGGAAGGTATCAGTAGTACACTGTACTCTGGACAGCCAGTATTGTCAGTGACTGACAATAATATTATGGACTTGGCTTTTTCTCCCAATTAAATACATTTAAAATAAATCCTCACTCGCAGCAACATTTTTGCTCTTAATTTTCAACTTTCCATCAGACACGCTATGTAGTCAGGTCACAAAGCCCCTCCCCCTTTACTGCCATTATGACCAATTCCCCAGGGTTACCCAGAACACTTAATAGGTCTGTCTGAGCATCCAGCAACAAAAGGGGAGCACATGGCAGCCACACACACATCATGTTAATGACTTCATTTCTCTCTGTGGCCCTGAAAAAAACCCTGACCCTACATAATTGCAGTCCTGTTATTCATGAGGCTTAAATTGTGTGTCTTCATGAATTTTAATGGGCAGTCCATTTTCTTTCTACTAATCCTGCATTACGCTGGGAACCTTCACATACTGATTGCCCTCTTAAGCTCTTTCTTTCCTTCAGCATCTTAGCTGCTGTCCCTCAAGCTACTGTGTTTTGAGATGTTGTCCTCTGTGTTCAGAGCTGGTCTGGCAGCTAGACAGCTGAGATTAAAGTGCTTTAAGGGACTTTGTCACTAGAGACTGGTGGCTTTGAGCATCCTTGTAAAAAGAAGCAGGCCTGTCTCGTGGGTCCCCTCTGAATAGCCGCTCATTCATTTTGTCCATGATTTGCCAAGCAAACAGTTGTATCTCGTTCCTTCTTTTCCTTGTGCACGACCCCTTCAGCATCCCTGGGGATAAGCAGCATAATGTTTGGTAGGGTACGTGCCAGTGGGTCTGTAATATAATCCTATAGCTTTACAAGTTTCGTTTACCATTTAAAGGGATCCACAGAAAAGATCAGGTCTTGTCACAGAGGCAGAAGCCCTTCAAATAATTCCCCTTAGACTGAGCTTGTGGAATTTTCCACATTATTATTACTACTATTATTTAATAAATGAAAAGTTCTGTATGCAAACAAAGTACTTCTGTTATTTGTACAGTGACATAGGTGTGCTCAGTGCTCTATGGCCAAATATTTTATATGATACATTCTCAAAGTTTAAGGCCAGAAGGATTATTCTGTCATCTAGTCTGACCTCCTGTATATCACAGGCCAGAGAATGTCGCCCAGTTATCCCTGTATTGAGCCAATAACTTTTGTTTGACGAAAGCATATGTCCCCAAAAGGCATCCAGACTTGATTTGCAAATATCAAGAGATGGAGAATCCACCACTTCCCTTGGTAGTTTATTCTAGTGGTTAATCACCCATCTCTACCCTGAGGCCCATCTCTACCAAAGCCATTCTGCTAGAGAATTCAGAGCAACACACCCTTGTTTCTTAAGATGCCAGCCTTATACGTGATGAATCCTGAGATTTATAGTACAATGCTCAATTAATAGGACACATAGTGTTAGTTGTCTAATGACTAGAGCAAGGAAGACTCCTGGGTTCTATTCCCAGCTCTGCCACTCACTGTGAGGCCCTAGACCAGGGGTAGTTAATAAGTGGACTGCAGGCCAGACACTTTTGAACAGACCCCACAATCCTTTTACTTATTATTATTGTTGTTGTTGTTTTGTTATTATTATGTTCTCTGGAGTCTATCCTTGATTATACATTGATCAAGACATTTGTACCTTGACAAAAATAATTAGCTACCCCTGCCCTAGAC